CATTCCTGGACTATCTAGGAGCTAGAACTGTAGTGTTAAATTATTCCACTAATATTTTTAAATGCTTACTATCCAGATGATAAATATAAAATGCAAAGACAAAATATTATATATGCTTTTTACTACTTCAATCTTTTTTTTTTTTTTAAAGATTTTATTTATTTATTTGACAGAGAGACACAGTGAGAGACGGAACACAAGCAGGGGGAGTGGGAGAGAGAGAAGCAGGCTTCCCGCCGAGCAGGGAGCCCGATGCGGGGCTCGATCCCAGGACCCTGGGATCATGACCTGAGCCGAAGGCAGACGCTTAACGACTGAGCCACCCAGGTGCCCCTTCAATCTTTTTTTTTTAAGTTTTGTTGATATAATCTACATATCATAGTTCACCCATTCAAAGAGTAGAATTTAGTGTTTAGGTTATTTACTGAGTTGTGCAACCATTATCATTATTAGATTATTTTAGGACAATCACTCTAAAAAGTAACCTTTATCTCCATTAGCAGTCACTCTGAGCCCTGTAACCACTGCCCCCTCACCTCCCAATCCTAGGCAACCATAATCTATCTATCCTCTTTCTCTTATAGAATTGCCTATTATGGACAGTTCATATAAATGAAATCATATAAAATGTGGTCTTTTGAGCTGGCTTCTTCTGCTTAGCATAACAATCTTGAAACTGATCCATGTTGTGGTATGTATAAGTTCATTCTCTTTTATTGCCAAATAATATTTGATTGTATAGATACATCTCGTTTTATTATTCAGTTGATATTTGCACTTTCACTTTCTGCTTATGAATAATGTTCTTCTAAACATGTGTACAAGTTTTTGTGCAGGCGCGTTTTAATTTCTCTTGAATGGAAAGGCTGGGTCGTATGGTAACTATGTTTAACATTTTGAGGGAACTGCCATCCTGTTTTCCAAAGAGACTGCACATCACTTTACAGTCTACCAGCATTGCATGAGGGTTCCAACTACTTCACTATTGTTTGAATCTTAAAGAGCAAGAATGATTTCACTATTCAGTATCCTTACCCTCATGGAGCTTATACTCAAGTGGAAAAAAGATAACAAATAAATAGAAAAAAAAAAGTGTTTATTTCAAGTATTAAGAAAAAGGAGAAAACAAAAGAGAGTAAAGTAACCAAAAGAAAAGGATGATCAGAAAGACCTCACTGAGGAGGTAATGTTGACCTGAAATATGAATATTCTAGGCAGTGGTAACACCAAGAAATAAAAGTGAGAAAAGAACAAGTTTGGCATGGTCAAGGAACAAAAAGGAAGCCAGTGTGGCTATGTATAATGAAGAGGCGGAGAAGGTAGGAGATGAAGTTGGGGGAGTAGAGGCCAGATAATATTCGACCACGGTAAAGTCCTTGGATTTTAAATGCCATCATTTTTTAATCCCTTATATTTCTTTAATATAGGTGTTCATCTGTGAAAACATTCCTTAAATGGTCACATATCTTCTGATTGCACCTAATAGTAGCAAATATTAAAGAGACTACTTAGGTAAATATGTACCATTCAATTAGTATCGCTTTACTCTGTGGCCCAAGGGAGGACACCTAAAACATGACTACCAACGGCCTTTTTGGTAACAAGGCACAAGCTTATGAATGAAGCTTTACAAAGTTATCACCAAGCCTTAACCAGTTTAAGGTGTATGCCTTAGTGACAGTAACAAGCAGCTCAGTCTTAAAATATTAAGGTCATTTTCAATAAAGCATGCTAGTAAGAATATAGTTGCATATAATGCTCATGATTTAAACCTAGATTTCATTCTTTTCAATTGAATTCTGATTGCTTTTCTCATTCTACTAATTAAAAATTAATATTCAACAGGCAAACATAAAACATGGGCACAAGTCTCTATATTGCTTAAATTTTTTAAAAACAGTTTTCACATATTACTGCTATATGTTTTTTTTAAAGAAAAAAATGTTTTTAAAACTCCAGTAACATAAATGCTACTCCTTTGATAAAAGAACCCATTACCTAGTCAAACTTTATTAAGGTGAAATTCTCTCCTACCATCCCAGCTTGATCTCCCATGCCTCTCTCCCCCTCTAGGCACTGTGTTCAGACTATTTGCCAGCTTCATACTTGTTGACCCCACCTCCCCCTCCTAGCCCCCCACCCATCCACCACCCTCCACCCCCCTCAGCTTTAAGACACACATTCCCCACCAGGAGAAATCCAACCAGTTTTTCAAGGTCCAGGGCAAACACTCTCCCCTCTACCTCTCTTTGCCAGTTCTCAGGAGTAGAAGTGATGTCTCACCTGTGTTCCTGCAGCAGTAACTTCTGCAACTCAGATACTGCCTTACCCTGTTTGGCCTGGTACACAACAATATAGGAGTCTGAGAAATACTGTCACCAAACCACTTCCCTCAGCATACCTTCAAATACATATAAAGCAAAGCTATTTGCAATTCCTCGGTGCTCAGTTGAAAATCACATCCAATCACAATATGATACCAAGTCATCACAAAATGCAAGGTCAAGTAGAGTTAAGCCCTACTTAGGCAGAGGGGTCTTTCCTTCCTTCCAAATTCCGACTGAATTCTTTATAGTAAATGGTTTCTTAATAACACAATCCCGCTCTTCATTCAAATGAAACTTTCCCCACATAAATAAAACTTTTCCACATGCATTACCTATTCAAGAATTGCTCAACAATTCTTGCAACTCCATCTAAAGTTTCTGAATGATACGTATTTTCCAGAACTTACGGCTGTAAACCCAGAGTAGAGAGAAGGTGGAAGATTCACACAAGGTGAATCGTAAGCTAATCAGAGGAGCGAAAATACAATTCCATTCAGTATTGTACCCACAACCTACTAACACGAACCTGATGAGGAACTTTCAAAAGCGTGTGATGTGCTTGTCGTAAATATTCAAACATCTGAGTTAACGAAGAGATAAAATATTTTTAATTATGGAAGTTTACTTACAACGTAAAAATGATTAATCCTTAATCATGCAGATTACGTTAACAGATTATTTCAAAACTCACTGCAATTAAAATATAAAAGTTTGGGAATGCGCACATTAACCACCAATCTTCTGCTCTTATTAATGGCACTGACCAGAAACCTATCCACAAGAGCCACTTTTTCAGTCTCCATTTGTTCCCAGAGGCCCAATGGACTAAACATTATAGCTCACCCCATCTTCTAATTTCAGCTTGCGTTTAAGATAACGCTTTTGTTTCATTTACAGCTCACATGCTGCTGACACAGCTGCCCCTTCTTTGTAATAAACACAGGGCTTCTATATTTAAAAATACAGTGAAACTTTGTTATAACATCCCCTCCCCAGTCTCCAGCCAGTTTTCTCTTCCAAGCCCCACCTCCACCCTAAGATTTTTCTATCCGCGGCGCTCAAAACGTTAGACCCTTTGGACAGTTAAATTTCTTTAAAAACATCTCATCGTAGTGGTATTTTTCTTCTCCGCAGCATGTGCGCGCGCGTCTGTGTGCGCGCTTTAAAGCGGGGCGGGAGGATTG